GCTCGGTTCTGCCGCCCCTCCCCCGCGCGCCTAGGATGACCCCCTACGGCTGCCTCTCCACCGGGGACCGCACGGGCCTCATCGAGGTGGTGCTGCGCTCGGACACCATCGCCAACATCCAGCTGAACAAGAGCAACATGGCGGCCACGGCCGCCTTCAACAAGGATGCCCTGCTCAACTGGCTCAAGTCCAAGAACCCGGGGTAGGCCTCGGGTCCTGCGGCGCCGCACCTTTCCCGCAGGTGCAGTTTGGGGTCCGAGGGGAGGTGCGGAGGGGAGGCCCGGGGAGGCCTCCGTGCGTCCTGGCTCGGCCGAACACCGGCCCCTCCTGGTGGCCCCCGTCGCTGGATGGCAGCGCCTGACCACCACCTCCCGGCCTCGGCTCGCAGGGCCGGGCTGGCGCCTCGCCGGCTCTTCTGGATACTCCTGAGCTGGGCCTGGCGGTGCAAGTCGGCCCTGCCTGCCGGGGAGCGGGCCAGGCCCTGCAGGGGCGGGCGGGGCGGCTGCGAGGTGGCTTCAGGCCCCGGCTCTGGGTCCACCGGTGGACAGCCTGCGCGTGCCCCGGCGCCGATGCCTGGGGCGGGACGGAGACCTGGCTCTCGGGAGGAGCTGCAGAGCGGGTGCCATGGTCCCCCACACTGCCGCCCCAGGGAGGCCCTGGACCGAGCCATCGAGGAGTTCACCCTCTCCTGCGCCGGCTACTGCGTGGCCACCTACGTGCTGGGCATCGGGGACCGGCACAGCGACAACATCATGATCCGCGAGAACGGGCAGGTAGGCGCCACCTGGCCGCCCGGCCCGGCCCGCCCGCGGCCCGGCCGTCCCCGCCGACGCCCCTGTTGTCCTCCCTCAGCTGTTCCACATCGATTTCGGCCACTTTTTGGGCAATTTCAAGACTAAGTTTGGCATCAACCGCGAGCGTGTCCCATTTATCCTCACCTACGACTTTGTGCACGTGATCCAGCAGGGCAAGACCAACAACAGTGAGAAGTTCGAAAGGTGAGGGCGCCCGGGCCTGGGAGCCCCGCCCGGCCTGGGCCTGGGGGTGCGGGCGGGGACTCGGCCCTCCGTCTGCCCGGGAGCAGCGCGGCCCGCGGGGGCAGCGGGCGAGGACCGAGCGGACGGGCGCCCATCCGCAGGTTCCGGAGCTACTGCGAGAGGGCCTACACCATCCTGCGGCGTCACGGGCTGCTCTTCCTGCACCTCTTCGCCCTGATGCGGGCGGCAGGCCTGCCCGAGCTCAGCTGCTCCAAAGACATCCAGTATCTCAAGGTAAAGGCCAGGCCAGGCCCGCCGGGACCCCGCGCTTCTCTAGCAGGGCCGCCTAGGCCCGAGTGGCGAACCCCAAGGGCACGCCCGGCCGCAGGGGTCCGCAGGCCCTGCTCTGGGCCCCGCAGCCCACCCCTGCCGCTGCCACTGCCGGCTCCCCCCGGGACAGCCGGAGGGCAGGACTCGGCGCCGGCCCGCGTATAGAGCGTTTCTGTGCTTTACAGTTGGTGAGAAGCCCAGGGTGGGGGGCGGGGGCGACCCCCAGCCCCAGCCAGGTGTTGTCTTGGGGGCCAGGACCCCAGGATGGAGCTGCTTCTACAGGAGCAGAGAAGGGGAGGCCGCCCTGACCCCTGGGCTCAGAGGTCGAGAGGTCCTGGCGCGAGTTGGGTCTTCTCCCGGGAGTGGGGGGCTGTCTCGGCTTGGGGCCAGGGAGACATCACTCCCCTCACTCAGTTCTTTTAGGAGGGATGTGGAAGGCCCCGGGGGGGCAGAAGGGCTTTAGGGCGGCCCCAGTCCCGCCTCAGGGCTTCCATGGTTTCCGCCCCAGGACTCCCTGGCGCTGGGAAAGACAGAGGACGAGGCTCTCAAGCACTTCCGGGTGAAGTTCAACGAAGCCCTGCGGGAGAGCTGGAAAACCAAAGTGAACTGGCTGGCCCACAACGTGTCCAAGGACAACAGGCAGTAGCGGCCGAGGCCCCAACCTTGAACTCACCCCCACGGGGAAGAGCCTACCTGACTTTTGTTTACACTGATTATTTATTTATGACTTGAAATGTTTCAGGAACTCAACAGCCATATTCAGGAACACATCCTTCCCAGGGGAGGGGTGCTGCAGCCCCAGGGGCTGGTGAGAAGACCCTGAGAGGTGTGCACCCCGAGGTTGCTTCTAGCTGAGGCGTGTAGCCCCAAGTCTTCCAGTGGGTGGACCTGGACCCAGCCGAGACGGTCCTCCCCACCGGGCAGCCAGCCTTCTCGCCGGGACCCCGCGGGCCGCCGGCGCCCGGTGCCCGCTGTCCCCGCGGGACGGGACACCCACCTCTTCCGTTCGCCTCTCCGTCCTCGAGTACCCCCTGAGTTCTGGGCTGCTCCCAGGGAAGCCTGGCACCCCCTGATGAGGGCGTCCACCTGCCACTTGTGAAGTGACCCACGGGTACGGGATTTCTCTCGTCTCTGCTGTAAAGCAGTTTCATTTGCGGAGAAGCAAAAAACAGCCAAGCTACTTCCTGAACCTCGATTCAGCCCCATAAAGTATAATATATGCTGGTCCTCAAAACACATTAAAGAGCGTGACCAAGGTGACCTTGGTCATGGGTCAAGGCGAAAGCAGGTCAGAGTCCTTTGTGCGAGTGGGATCAGCTGCGTCTCCCAGCAGGCCCTGCTCGTCCGCACGGGGGCGGACGATGCTTCTCAGATGCTTCTCAGCTGGTGCAGGCTCACCTCGGCTCCCCCAGGCGCCCGGGCCTGAGGATGTTTGGCCTCTCCCAGCCCCCTGACGCCAACGAGCTGGAGATCCGGGCCTGGAGGAGCCAGTGGTGGGCGCCGGGAGCCCCCGCCCCTCACAGCCCCGCTGGGCTCAGCACAGCCAGGCAGAGCCACAGCTGGGGAGCAGAGCTTCCGACGGAGAAGAGCCAGGGCCGGGGGTGGCGGGGGGCCGCGGCCACCTTGCCACGGCTGCCCACGGCCACTCGTCTAAGCGAGTGCGGCCTGGGCCCGGAGGGGTTTGGTACTTTCTAACTTTCTCATCGCCAGGCTGCTTCCGACAGGGAAGGTGGGCGCGCCACGGTCACGGGTTGGCCGGTCCAGGACCCCGACCCGACAGGTGACAGTGTGTGAAGAGCAAAAGCCTCTTCCCGGCACGTCCTCGGCCCCCGAGGACACGGGGGTGCAGGATCAGCACCAAAACAAGACACATGGCGCAGACCCGGTGGAGTTAAAACCAGAGCTTTATTGGGCACACGCCGGCCGCCCAGCCCGCCAGGCCGGCCCGCGCCGGCCCCGCCCGGCCCACACAGGGCCCCAGCCCCAGACGCGAGGACGCCACGCGCCCACGGGACAGCCGGCCACGTCCTCGAGGCCGGGGTCGCGGTCACAGATCGGTATGCAAAGGGCTTCCTTTCGTTTCAGAGACGTTTACAGGAATTGGGAGTGCTGGGGGTTTCTGCTGGGGGCCGCCCTCCCCTGCCCGCCTGCCCGGTGGCCGGTGTGGCTTGACCCTGGGTGGGGGTGCGGCCCGTGGGGCTCAGGGCCCTTGGCCGTGGGTGCTGAGCAGGCTGTGCGGGTCACTCCGGCCACGCCCTCTCCCCACGAAGGGCTGGGCTGCCCGCCGGAGTGCGTCCTCTCACCAGCAAGGACACGGCCCCCTCGGTCGTGGCACCCGCTGCCAGGCGCCAGGGGTGGCGTCCCCAGAGAAAACCTGGCTGAGCCGAGCTCGCAGGGGGCCCTGACCCTGCTCCCCTCCACAGGGCTCCCTGTCACTCCCCGGCAGCAGCCCGGGGCCAGGAGCATCGGGGCGGCCGGCTCCTAGTAGGGGGAGCAGCGGGGTGGGGCGGGGGAGCAGGAGCCTGGGGTCTGTCCTGCCCTCAGTGTCCCCAACTTCACTTTGATTCCAGTCCTGGATTACACTAGCACGAAGGACACGAGGAACCCCGATTTATTTACAAAATATTAAAAAGTCGGTTCATCATCTACATATTAACCCCCTTCTGCCATTTTATACATGCACTAGTTCGGGAAAAATAAAAACTTTTAAAAAAAGAGAACGGAGGGCCACGGGGGTGGCGGGGGCAATTCTGACCCTTCCGCGGGTCCAGTCACTGCAGCTGTTTGGAGTGCGAGGGGCCTGCCGGGGCGGGGCGACCAGACGAGGGGGGCTGCTGCTCATAACTTAGCGGGCGGGGTGGGGCCTACGAGCAGGGAGGCGGCGCCGGCCCGGGCCGCCCTGGCCGGAAGGACTTTGTACATGGAGGCCCTGCGGCCGCGGCGCGCTCAGTAGCTGAGGGTCGAGTCGTCCCACTCGAGCTGCTGCGGCCGCGCGCCCTTCTGCGGGTCCCCGCGCTCGGCGCCCCCCTCCTCCTCGCTGCTCTCCGACTCGGCGCTGGTGATGTCGTCGTCCTCCTCCTCCCCGTCCTCGCTCTCCTCCTCCTCCTCCTCCTCCTCCTCCTCGCTGCTGTGCCGGTCCTCGTAGGTCTGGCGAGAGACGGGGCGCCTGAGCCGGCCCCTCCCGCTCGGGGCGCGCCCCCGCGGCC